TAACTAGTACTAGGAACTAGTAGACATGTCACTATCGCTTCGCTTACCAAAGCGATCAGCGTCGCCCATGGACACCCGGAACACCACAGGAACCACGAGTGTGTTGCCGGCCCTTCAAAAAGTTTCTTGAAGTTTCGAATTTGATATATGATGGGTCACACAGTAAGTTGCATAGTTATTTGTGATATGTATATTAGTATGGTTACCTACATTTAAGTCTACCTCTATATTTGGTATGTAGGTGTGCACTTGTTTTCCCGAAATGAAATATATTTCATCATCAAAATAAGTCTATAACAATTCACTGCTGGACTATTAGGCCTCCTCTACATACAGCAGATTTCACTATTTTTGGCAAATCGTTTGAAATCGGTTGTCACGCGGAACAATATTTTGTATTATCCTCTTTTTTAATGCGGGAAATTCATCGAATGACTGCTCCCGCCTGGGTGAGGCGGGAGGGAGTGTCAGACTCTTACTGACTAAAAACCACCCCGTTCCTGCTCCTGCACGTCGAGCCGGAGCCCCGGTTACCCGTTAGGTTCTCCGCGACTAAATTATTGTTGTCTGGGTGTCTTGTTTATGCGAAATGATGTTTCTATATGAACCTGCGGCACAGAATAGTGTACAGGCAAATTACATCTAAAGGTATCGGGAAAGGTGACGGGTCGGCGACGCGACACTTTCATTTTTTTAAATACATACTCGTGATAGTGTGTGAGTAGTGATAATAGTGAGCTACGCGACGTCGCCGCGACCGCGCACGCTGCTCATGAGGAAGAACCCCTCTGTGGTTCGAAACTAGTAGAGCTTCTCTCGGCATATTCACGGGAGTAACCCGCGTTTTTACTTAATTTAGTATGTATCACGATAGTTATTATAAAAAAAATACATACTCATTTTACATCCCGAAAATTTTATTCTTTTTCACTAATCAGTTGATTTCACTAATCAGATTTTGAACCTTATTTGCAATGGCCAAATAATGGTTATTTCCTCTTGCTTTAAAAAAACTTAAAACCTAATTTGACTTTATAATAGGTATCAAAATATAGGAAAATAATTAATGAAAAGAAACACACACATAACATAATTAATTTCTTTATTTATTATTATTAATTACATTACTTACTTATTTATTTCATTATTATTATTATCAATAATTCACAATAATACTTTCATTAAGATCACATTTTTTTGTTTTGTACCCTTATCTTATTTTAACCCTCAAACATGTAAAGGGGGGCAAAAACAGAAGAACTTTGAAAGAAAACAAAATTACAGTTCAGCTAATCAATTTTGAGTTCTACTTCAAATGGAATAAGACATATAATAGTAATTATTTATTGCAAAATGTTATTGCTTTTACAACATTCTTAAGTTAATGCGTTAGAGTTCAAAATCGATTGGATGAACTGCAAATGAAACTAGACGAAAATTCTTTCATATAAAAGGACTTTTAGAGCCTGTTTCACAATATCTGCAGCTGTAGCCAAATGTCATTTAGCGCTTGTCTACATGTAGAATAGAAAACCAAATTATATGAGATTGACGTAAATTTTAACACTTGTTAGTGTCATCCCCATACCTTTAGTTTTCTACTCTCTCTGTAGACAAGCGCTAAAGTGGCGTTTGGCTAAAGGCACAGGGCCTTTAGCTTTAATTTGGTTTTCTATTCTACATGTAGACAAGCGCTAAAGAGCGAGGGGGATTGGGATGCCGTCTCCTCCTTTTGCGAAGCAGTCATGCTAGCTAAGGAGGAGGCGGGACCCGTGAGGCAGCGAAGCGCTGCCTCCTCGCAACCCAGCCATCGCGAAGGACACACCGGGCGTCGGGGATCGCGGGACGATCTCCGGCCACCGTAAGCGCGGGCCTGCGGACGGCGAGCATGGGTGGCTCCCCGTCCGACCAGAAACAGACCCGAGCGTACGGCGCGTCGCGTTCCGCGCGCGCCTCAAAGAGCCATCAGACCACCACAGATGGGGTCCAATAGGGCCGATGCCGATTCGGAGTCGCGGAGAACCTAACGGGTAACCGGGGCTCCGGCTCGACGTGCAGGAGAAGGAACAGGGTGGTTTTTAGTCAGTAAGAGTCTGACACTCCCTCCCGCCTCACTCAGGCGGGGGCAGTCATTCGATGATTTTCCCCCCTTAAAAAAAAAAAAAAAAAAAAAGACAAGCGCTAAAAGGCATTTGGCTACAGCTGCTGGATAGCCGTTATCGATCAGATAAATTTGAATTAAAAACGTAATATGTATGAACCATGTGTCACATAAGTAACACAAGTTTAGGACTTATACAGGGTGGAATTTTGTAATGCCATCTGAAGGGAAAGTACTCTTAATACTTAAGATAGAAATTTTTACTCAAAGAACACATTCCTTTATTTTTTTAAAAGAAAGCAAGCTGCATTCAAAGATTTTTAAAATTCGCTTGCCGCACACGGTAATCAAGCCGACTAAAATCTGTAAGAGTCGCACCTTGCATATTTATTGCATCGATCATATCATCCGAACATAGTACCTCCTTTTTAAACTCGATAAAAAACATAAAATATTAAAACCGATTGAGTCATAGGGTGCCAGGTTGCCACAGGTACGATACTAGCAGGGGTAGTAGTCAGTTTATAAAAATTAAAAATATAATTAGTCCGTCAGTTAGGTAATGAAAAAATATTAGACACGTATTTTTTTATTTTGTCGTATAATAAAACAATACTTAGATAAAACGAATCAAAGTTCACTCTAAATCCCCACTCTTAAACTTTGATTCGTTTTATCTAAGTATTATTGCTAAAACGTCATTTCTACGTATAAAACGTACATAGAAGTGACGTCACGCGACATTTCAAATCAATATATCGTCGAAAGTATTCGTTTCTGTGAGAAAATAAAAAATACGTGTCTAATGATTTAAAATAATCTACCAGACGGACATTAAAATGAAAATTAGGCATCTATTTTCCCTATTCCTTTATAGTAACAATGTTTTTTAGAATTTTCCATCTAGATTTTTAGCACAAAATCTATTCCTTTTTAATATAATAAATATTGTTTTTTTATACCTATATCTGTCTACCCCACAGGGGATTGTGATGGTAAAAATAAATTATAATAATGTTATTACACCTAAAATATAATTATAGGTGAAAATTACGTATCTTGGCATTCATTGTTTGTAAATAAATACATTTCTTAATGTTACACATACTTTTTTCTAACTCGCTTGGTAAGAGTGATAAGGATAGCAAATAGAATCATTTATTTTATTTTAAAGGAGTATTTAAACGGATCTTTTTGATTACTATATTAAAAAAGGTATTCAATACAAAAATATTTTTTTTAAAGTATTGTATGTATAAAATTAAGAGGTAAGTATCAAATCATTTTTATCGATTACAAAAATATTTTATAATTATAATGATTTCAAACTTTTTCATTAATTATCTGTCAAGTTATTAAAAAGGGACGCACGATATGAACTGTGACGTCATTTCTATTTCACTGTTTAAGTGCGAGTGAAACAGAGATATACTACGTCACTCTGTATTGCAAGTAATAGAGACGTTCTTTAATTTATTAGATTTTGAATAAAAAATAATTTGCTTCATTAAAAAAATTAAATTGAAAGCACTTGCTATTGTGTCTCTGTATACCAAGCGTGAGGTATTTAGCTTCGATTTTCGAGTCAGACAGTTTTTTAATAGCGTTTTGGAATGTATATGACCGGAGTTAGGTAATAGGATCACCTATCACAGTTTAATTAATAACAAAATAAAATTAAATGTACTGCAAATACATTTTTAAAAATAAAAGTAATGTGATGTTATTTTTATGAAAATCTAACTGTTGCTCGAGACTTCGTCCGCGTAAAATAAGAATTTTAGAACATACAATTTTTTGTTTTAATTTTCATAAATAAAAGTAGCCTATGTTACTTCTAAGTACATCAGCTACCTGCCAATAAAAGTCTTGCAAAATTGGTTCAGCCATTCCAGAGATTAGCCAGTACAAACAGACAGATACACAGACAGAATAATTGTAAAAAAAAATATTTTGGTATATTGTATATACAGTGTGTTAATTTAAACGAGGGACATATTCAAACCCTTAATAGTGTATACTTATATGATACTAATAAAGACATGAGCAAAAAAAAACACTGATAACAGACAGAACCATACCAAAGTTTTCGCAAAAGTCTCGCAACGTGTGTACACCCTTGCGCTACCGATAACGTTATCAGGAGACGATGTCCGCGGGAGATGGCAATGACTTTTGGTTGTTGGCTTTCTTTTGTGTTGTTGCGTGTGTTTGCGTGATTTGGCACGTGTCTTGCCGCGTGAGTTTTACAGTGTTCATGAGTAATGTATCTTATGGGACAATTCCGTCAAATATTAAGGTTATAAGTTTTATACATTTTTGAGACGAGAATCGAATACTGAATACCCTCCTTCAATAAGTCCCTCGTTTAAATTAACGTACTGTATATGCATATGCATGTAGTAAAAAGCTGTTATTTTAATATTACAAACAGACACTCCAATATTAGTTATCTGAGGCCTTAATACCAGTTCGTTTTACGTTGAAAGTAATCGAAACGAGTACGCGTTCGGCGCTGTGATTGGCCGGCGCCAATGAAGCAACCAATCAGAGCGCCGAACGCGTACTATTTACGATTACCTTAAACGTAAACCAAATTCGTAAAGGTATTATACAACATGTAACTTAAATAACACACATCCTGAAAATAGTTTGTTCAGAATCGTTAACTGAATCGATTTATATATTTTTTAGTATAGGTAATTTTTTGTCCCAAAAATAATTAAAACTACGGAAATTATTGTCATATTAACCCTGTATTGTTAAAACAAATCGAAATGGACCGTAAGTCAAAGCAATAAGACTTTTAAAATCGCATTTTTTTTTGTATTCATACAAATTCTATCATTCAATACAAAATAAAGAAAAATAAACCTTATGACAAGGCCAGTAAGGATGCATATACATGTTAAATTGAAAATTTTGTGTATGTATTATGATTATAACATAATATTCTAATTGGGGTGTTTGAGGGTGTGCGTTAATTACGTTACATGTTGTAGATAATGTGCAGATGTGATTCATGTAGTAAGTTCATGATCTACGGGTCCCATAACTAAAAATTAAGGATTCTTTAACCCATTTCAAAGAAGTATATTTGTTCGATTATTTATATAATAAATAAAAAATGAAAGTACCTAATCTTAAAATCGTATGGGACCCGTAGACATGTTCACATTATGACCAATTTTTTTTTCATAATTAATGTAATTCCAAAAAACAATGACAGAATAATAAATACAGTGAAGCTACTGTTAAGTTACCTAACATTATAGGAAACCCAATTTTCAAAAATTGTACAAATGTAAATCTGTAACCATGTTGTTCGGCCACTCCTGCGCAGACCACGTTTGCGCTGGCACCGATTAAAGTGCCGTTACCTGGAACCAAGATTAAAGTAAATTAAGATTACATTGACCGATTACCTCGTTGGCCGAGTCGCAAGTACGTGCAAGGGGTCTCGGGTTCGATTCCCAGGTCGGGCAAAGTACTTCTGGGTTTTTATAAATTCTCAGTAGAAACACGGAGTCTGGAATTGTGACCGGTATATGGCAATTGGCTCACCCCCTATTACATGGGACTCATAACATAAATAGTGAAAAGTGGGTGAAAAGTGGGTGCACAATGTACACCTCTGCCTACCCCTTCGGGGAAAAAAGGCGTGATGTTATGTTATGTTCCAATAGCGATGCTGAATTGCCAGCCTATTCAAGATTGGACCACGGGTAGCCTCACTCACTCAGGTGCACAGAACTCAAGGGATGTTTCAGACCTGCAGCTGTAGCCAAATACCATTTAGCGCTTGTCTACATGTAGAATATAAAACCAAATTATATGGAATTGACGTAAATTTTGACACTTGTCAGTGTCATCCCCATACATATTGATTTCTACTCTCTCTGTAGACAAGCGCTAAAGTGGCGTTTGGCTAAAAGCACTGGGCCTTTATAAATTCGCTAAATTATGGCATTTGGCTACAGCTGCTGTTTTGTATGAGGTCTTGTTATTATATCAGTCGAACCGACTCATGATGATGAGGATTCTGATGAATTTTGTCATATGATCAAAGTAACCAGTTTAATTTTTTGAGAAATAATTCTGTATCATTTTTTATATATTTGATGGATTCTATAATTGGGCCACTAACTCGCCTGGTGGTAATCGATGATGAGGTCCACAATGGAGCTTGTCTGCCCATAAGCAACCTATTCACTCGGACCTTGATCACACCCAAGGTTATAACCACTTCGGAAAACAGACTCTGGCAATGAATTCAACTTCTTAGCAGTTCGCACAAGGACCTTCCATTACCTCCAAGGCAGGCTCCGAAGCTGAGGGCCCAGGCCAGAGGAGCGAGAGGTAGACCCAGCCCGGCCGGGTCAGCCAGCGCTGCTGTCACTCGCACCATCATCGTGGACAGCGGTATATTGTCCACGAATGCTGATGCTATACCTGACACCTGGAAGATGAGAGCATTTTTTTCTGAGTATTCAGTATTATTACATAATTTTCAAGAGTATTATGTATGTATTGTGGAATAGTTCGGCAAACGACTAGACGAATCAGGTGGTGCCACCATCCATGGGTAGTAGATACACGCAACACCAGAGGAATTGTTAGTACGTTGCCAACCTTTTGAGAACTTAGGGATTAGAGTTTGGGACTGGGTAGTGGAGATTGGGAAATGGGAATTGGAGATTAGAGATTGAGGATTTGGCACTAGAAATTGGTGACGGTCATTGGGGTTTCGGATAGGCGATTGGAATTGGGATTGAAGTATGGAGATTGGAGACTGGAGACCGGAAATTGGAGACTGGAAATTGGAGATTGGCTATTGGAGATCGAGGATTGGAGATTGGCGATTGGAAATCGGAAATTGGAAATTGGAAATTGGAAATTGAAGATTGAGGATTGGCGATAGGTGGATAGCGGGAGGATTGGGCCTTCATTTGTAACTTGTAACTTAACTTACCCATAATATTAGCATAACTGCCACAGCTAGCCTGGATTCTTGGCCAACTTGTAATATTAGGTTCTCAGTCAGACTGCCTATCCAGGAGATAAGACCCAGTTTTGATAAAGCCTGAAATATACACAAATAAACACAAGTTGTAATAAAATAAACAAAACACCTTGGCAGGTTATAGTTCAGAGCAATAAATAAAACAAATATTTAAGCACTTTTGGTTTGATGAAGAGAATTGAAGGTTTTTCACTTGAGTGGACTTAATGAAACGACTCATAAGAAGTCAACGTCGTCGACACAACTCACACACGCTATTCATGAGCCCCGGTTTGACTTGAAGTAGGTAGTAGAATAGGGTAGATGCCTAAATTTTATTTTAATGTCCGTCTGGTAGATTATTTTAAATTATTAGACACGTATTTTTATTTTCTTACAGAAACGAATACTTTCGACGATATATTGATTTGAAATGTCGTGTGACGTCACTTCTATGAACATGTTATACGTAGAAATGACGTTTTAGCCCCCACTCCTAAACATTGATTCGTTTTATCTAGATTTTGTTTTATTATACGACAAAATAAAAAAATACGTGCCTAATATTTTTTCGTTACCTAACTTACGGAGTAATTGGTTCTTTAATTTTCATACCCTGTCATCATCCCTATTGTTGTAGAATACTTCACGTGAGTAATGTCCAGATACTGAGTACAGTTTAAGTCTGTTCTGCCACTAGGACACATACACTTTTACTTTCACCGACTCAGAAAACCTATCCTCATTATCAGAACACCCTTTTAAAACGGGACAAAATGGCTTACTTCCATAAGCACAAAAAGTGCAGCGAAGAACAGTAAGGTAGACCACTCGACCCTGGCCAGGATTGGCTCCAGGTCATCTCTCTCAGCCAGGAGCAGCAGCAGCAAGGCTCCTAGAAGAGCCGTCCAGCCTAGAGAGAGGCGTTCTGCAAAGGAAAAATTCGGATAGAAATAGGAAGAATAAAGTAATTTTTTTCGGGATATTTAAAGTGTTGGAGAGCCATGCTTCGGCACCAATAGGCCGGCTCGACCGGAATGATACCACGCCTCACAGAAAACCGACGTGAAGCAGCGCTTGCGTTGTGTTTCGTCGTGTGAGTGAGGTTACCGGAGGCCCAATTACCCTCCCCTTCCCCAATCTCCTCAATCCCTGAATCCCCAACGATCTTCAAACTCCTAATCTCCAGGTGTCAATGGGCGACGCCGATTGCTTACAATCAGATGATCCGTCTGCTCGTTTACCGGCTTATGCCATAAAAAAAAGATTATTGGAAAAAAACACTACGAACAGCTGATTAGGTAAATGGGTTCAGGTAAAGTATTATTGAGTCTTTTTGGTTCTCCGAAATGATTGTTAGTAGCACGTAATTTAATTGGCATCTTATACCTTTAAACAAGCCTTTTTTGTATAGTATATATCAATAATCTCGGAAACGGCTTCACCGACTTTCTTGAATTTTTGTATTTAAGGGATTTCAGGAGTGAAAAATCCTTGTAGCTTGCTTTCATTTTCATAAAATGTCGTTTACTAAAAAAACAACACCAAGCAAAGTTCTGTTATCCAAATATTTGTGTGAGAAAAACAATACTGCATGTAAAGGGTCTACAGTTCCATTTCGGGCTCAGACTTTCAAATCTATTCAGTTTACGAAAATGTTCGGTTATAGCACGGTATGTTTTTATTGAGGGGGAAAATCATCCAATGACTTCTCCCACCTTGGGTTAGGCGAGAGGGAGTGTCAGACTCTTACTGACTAAAAACCACCCCGTTCCTACTCCTGCACATGGAGCCTTTTAAACTTCGCCATAATCGGATAAAAAGAAGTACAGCAGAGAGAGATTTATTGGAAAAAGAGAAAGAGAAGTTTTTTATGAAAATTAATAAAACAATTATTGATATAGGTAAATTGCGTATAAATAAAAAACAAGTATTAACTTACGTAATTCTGGTATAGCGTGTAGAAAGAACACTATGATGACGAAGGAGACGCATATAGTCGACTTCACTAATAACGGCTTGTCTCTAATGCGATACTGGAACAAAATTAAACATTCAAAGTCAATTTATTATCTACAGATAAATACTGCCTCGTTGGCCGAGTGGTCGCAAGTGTGACTGCCGGGCAAGGGGTCTCGCGTTCGATTCCCAGGTCGGGCAAAGTATTACTGGGTTTTTAAGAATCTCAGTAGTAGCACGGAGTCTGGAAATGTGCCCAGTATATAGCAATAGGCTCACCCCCTATTACATGTTACTCATAACATAAATAGTGACAAGTGGGTGTTACATTATACAGTGGCATAATGTGCACCTCTGCCTACCCCTTCGGGGATAAAAGGCGTCATGTTATGTTATGATAAATAAATTTTGAGTATTTGTTTGTATTATTGAAATAACCGCCTTTTTACTACATGCATATGAATATACGTACACACGGCTACACATCGAGCTTTACATAACCAGTATAAACTGAAAGTTAAATGTGCGGAAAGATGATGCGACGCGACACCAGGTGTGTTTAACTAATTTAAGTGTGGGAGAGCCATGCTTCGGCACGAATGAGCCGGCTCGACCGGAGTGATACCACGGCCGAGCAGAATACCGACGTAAAGCAACGCTTGCGTTGTGTTTCGTCGTGTGAGTGAGGTTACCGGAGGCCAAATTACCCTCCCCTTCCCCAATCTCCCCAATCCCTGAATTTCCAACGATCCTCAAACTCCTAATCCCCAAAAGGCCGGTAACGCACTTGTAATGCCTCTGGTGTTCCAAGTGTCTATAGGCAACGCCAATTGCTTACCATCAGGTGATCCGTCTGCTCGTTTACCGGCTTATGCCAAAAAAAGGGTAAACTGGTTTTGTATAGATTGATGAGTGGCCGTGTGTACTATACATATACCAATATAACATTTTTTATAACTTTGTCTTATTTGTGTGTACTGGCTAATCTCTGGAATGGCTAGACCTAATTCTTTTGTCATTTTTTCAAAACCTTCCACACTAGTATTTACTCCTGTATTGTTGATGCGTTTACAAACATACAAATTCACATACACATGACAACCAGACCCGAAACAACAATTTGTGGAGCACACAAAGCGTTGCTTCGTGCGGGAATCGAACCCGCTACACATAGCGCGGCAGCCAATTACCCAGTCACCGCACCAACCGTGCTTAGAATTCATTTTATTTCTTCATACCTTTTGTTTCATCTGCGCGAGAGTGGAGCAGAACATAGGATCAGTTCTTGAGGCCCCGCCTCCAGCTTCACGACGACTTAACGCCATGTTCAGCTTCTCCACCTGAAGATGAAAATATAAAAGATTAGTTTGATTATATTAAAAAGGGCCTTTAACCCGTAAGTGTGCCCGAACGCAGATATTCGTTATGTGCAAAGTGGGTGGTGGGGGACGGCAAATCGATCGAAGCGCACGATGTGGCAGAAATGTGAATTAATTCTGGGCTGTCAAGTGTCAAATTGCTTTATTTTCATAACTAAACTTCCAGTCTCTTCTTTGAGCCTTTAGACTTAATTCATTCTGTCTCCTGCAGAAATTCACCGAGGGAAGTGGAAACTATAGTTTTTTCTTCTCCTCTTATAATATCTTCTGATTCATTCCGTTGCGGGAACCAAGACAGTTACTCATGTCCCTGGGACGCGCCGGACTTCAGTGTTCCGGTGTTTTCATGGTTGTATCTACTGTAGATCCTGGCTTACAGGAATTGCAGCGGTTTTGGGAGGTTGTGGCGGGCTTGTCCACATTTAAAAAAAAAAACTAAACTTCCTTTATAATTTTAAGTAGAAACGTAAAAATTTGCGATTTATTTTTGACAAATTGTCGAGTGCTGGGTTTTCCCCACTGCTGTTCGCTACTTGTTTTTGTTAAGCTCTCTTCTGAGTTGATGTAATGTATCAAAGCAGCAACATGCTTACACTTGCCACTTTGGTTGTAAACACAGCGAATACGAATACGCGAGACAAAAGTCAAAAAGTCAAAATCATTTATTTCAATTAGGCCAGAATGGCACTTTTGAACGTCAACAAAAAGAAAATTAAAAGTGAAGCTATTTGCTCATTCCAAGGTGTAGATTCCTATGGAGAAGAACGAGCGAGAAACTCCATAGGTTACTCTTTTTCAATCAGGTTCACAATACAATTTACTAGTTACATAGTTTTGCTGTTTGGATTGTGCGAGAACAATGTAACAGACAGAATATATTTTCTTAGACAGTGTCTCACAAACCGGTTAAACTCATGAGGGTAAAGCTCCTTCTGTCAACAAGCATGCATAAAGATATTGATAAAAGTAATTGTAGATGAAGGCCGCCATAATATCCAAGCATGAGGGGTTCAGGTTCGAACCCATGCAAATAACAATGTGACTTTTCTGAGAGAGTTTGTAAGTAGTTTCCAAGTTTATTTCATCACCACAGACAGGCATTTCAAATTTATAAATTTACTAGCAGACCCAACAGACGTTATCCTGCATATCCACTTGAATGTATAAACAAAAATTCATTCAAATTAGTTTAGCTGTTTAGGATGAATAACCTAAACATCGACTGCAGCGCCATCTGCCGGGCTGATTTGAATCTAAACCATTCCCAGATCCCCTTGAACACACACAAAAAAAATTTCATCAAAATCGGTCCAGTCGTTTGAGAGAAGTTCAGTTCAGTGACATACACACTCACAGAAGAATTATATATATAAAGATAAAAGATAAATTAGATATCGTCAGTCCACCATGAGCAAGCGCTATGACTAACGCTCATTTCTTCTCTAAGTGTCTTCTGTTTCGCAGAAGGAATGAGCGCGTGTTTTTCGACAGTAAGATAGTCTATTGTTGGTTGGTAATTAATTTATCGAAGAAGGTTATGCCTAAGCTATAAGACACCCCAAGGGTAAGAGAGCCGAATAGCGGCAGCGGATTAAATAAAAACTTCATAAATATAGTACCTTCTTCTCAAGCGCCCTCCTCACTATATCTTCATCCCTAGAGTAGGAGGATAGTGAAGCAGCAGCGCGTCTCCAGACAGCCAACTCCTGACGTAGCTCTGAAAATGTTTTATATTTACATTACTCTAAGGTTCAATGTTCATACACAATGCCATTTAGGCATGGAACAACCATGCTTTGACACGAATGGGCCGGCTCGACAGGAGTGGTACTACGGCCTCACAGAAAACCGACGTGAAACAACGCTTGTATAGTACGCAGACTGTTATCACGAGCACAAACTTGAGGATTCGAGGAGGAGAATAAGGAATTTAAGGATTGTGAGGATTGTGGAGGATTCGGGGATTGGGGAGACTGGGGTAGGGGGAATTGGAGCTCCGGTAACCTCACCCACACGACCAAACACAAGCGTTGTTTCACGTCGGTTTTCTGCTCGGCCGTGGTATCATTTCGGTCAAGTCGACCCATTCATGTTGAAGCATGGCTCTCCCACACTTAAGTTGCTTCGTTTCTTTGCCCCTAAGGGCCGAAACACATAAACGCGTTGCGTCGCCGCAACGCTAAAATCGGCAGTTTGCGTTGCGGCGTTGCGGCGTTGTCAAAAAGAGCGTTTTATTGTCGTTCGGTAGGGTAACCAGTTCGTCGTGATTTTTTATTGTGGATAGACGTGTCTCTGCCATGGACCATCGTGAAAAACTTATTGCTTATTTGTTATTAAGAAGATATTACTCTGCTATGCTAGAAAGAGCGCTGCGTTGCGGCGCCGCGCCGCTTAAATCGGTAGTGACGCTACTGTCGATTGTAGCCGGCGCGGCGCCGCAACGCCATTATATATGTTTTTGGCCCTAAAAGGATGGACATGGGTTATGTCAAGTATACGTACCTAATATATCTCTTGGAACGCTATGCCTCAATTTGTTGATATCTCTAAACATATATCTAAGTTGGAAGTAGGTTTGTACACATACTATAAGTATGCCTACCCCCATGTGTATCGTGAACGTCGTGAAGTTTATGTTCTGAAAAAAAAATTATAATATTTAAAGTAAAATGTTTTTAAAAAACTGTCTCGTTGGTCGAGTGGTCGCAAGTGATACTGCCGTGCAAGGGGTCTCGGGTTCGAATCCAGGGTCGGGCAAAGTACTACTGGGTTTTTAAAAAAAATCTTAGTAGTAGCATGGAGTCTGGAATTCTGTCCGGTATATGGCAATAGGCTCACGCTCTCTTACATAGGACTCATAACATAAATAGTGGAAAGTGAGTGTTACATTGTACAGTGGCATGTAGATGTTATCTCTATATCTTTAAAAAAACAAGCTTTTATGCATTTATGGTCATGCAAATTAAAGTATACAAAATTTCAGCTCAATCGGTTTAAACTGTCAAACACCAAGCGGTCACCGGTGACCGCGACCTATTGTTCTTTAATTGTTTCTATAATGACGGTACTCAAAGGGTTAAGGTATCTGCATATTTTTAAAAATATGTCTAGTACTGGTGAAATTAGTGTTTGTTTATGACTAATAGTGGGCAACGTATGACTAAGCGTAGGCAAATTGTCACTAAAACTGGACAAATACACTTGGGAGCAAAAAACTGAAGCCACCAACGTTTTTTTTTTTAATCACAAAAACAAAAACAAAACGCTCTCATTTTAAAGGTAACTAAATTGCCTTTTATACTACACTGGCGACCCGCCCCGGTCACACGGGTGCAATACGCATGTATTATATGTTCAGTGTAGAAATAATCTGTTTAAAAGATGCACTCGGCCAACGCCATACTACTATTTATTGTGTTGTCCCATAGCTCGATAGATGGCGTTGGCCGATTTAAATTCAAGCTATGGTTTCGTTACCGGCAAAACATTAGGTTGTCTGCTTTGACGTAAATAAATTGTCTTGCTCTGAGGTACTTCGTATTATTTCAAGTAATAGGCTCCAAAGGACTTTCGGCCGATACTGTTCATGGTCCAGTCGAGCCGAAGGGTGTTTATGGAAGAACACATACAATTAAATATAGTTGTGCTAATTGATACGAGATGGTGATAGTTGTCGGTTAACAATACCACATGTGGAAGACTACGTGCTCAGCTGCCGAGGACATACATCGGGAATCATCGTTGAACTTCGTAGTAGTGAAGTGAAGTGCATAATTGTGGACAAAGAACTGTGAGTACATTCAAATCATTAAAACTAGGGACTTAGAAAAATTCGCGTGCATTCGATCAGGGACTTAGAATAGTTTCGAGAAAAACGACCAGACGTCGAATCTATGCCCGATTTCGAAGCGATCTACAAAGTATTAAACACTTAGAAAAATTCTCTATAGTTTGGACTTGGAAAATTTGTCAATTGTCAACTGTCAGCGACACTTAGAGAATTTTCATCTATCTTTCACTGGACTTAGAATATTTTCATGAATACAAACAACATGGAGAAAGAACTAAGAAAGCTGAAAGATATCAAATTACAAATTGAAAAGGGCTGGATAAATTACAAGAAGTCCCCGAGAGATCGGATAAACTACAATTATGTCGATGCACGTTTAGAGATGTTAGAGACCCAATTCAAGAATTTTTCTGCGAAATATGAAGTCATCGTAGGTGATTGCGAAAGTGAAGAATTACAGGACTTTTTCCAGGAAGATATCTATGAGACGGTTTATGAGTGTTATTTAATGTACAAGGTAGAATTAAAAAATGTTTTGTCCCAATTAAAAGTTCACAGCTCAGGAAGGAAGGTTGCGATGGTTCATCTGACAGCAGTGTGGTAAGATTGCCAAAAATAGTTTTACCTACTTTTAGCGGAAAATATACAGAGTGGTCGTCATTCCGTGATTTGTTCGTGTCATTAGTACACAACAATAAAAAACTTGATGATGTCCAACGTCTCCATTATTTAAAAACTCAACTGTCAGGTGAAGCGGAGCAGCTTATAAAACATGTACCTATAACTGATTTAAACTATAAAAAATGCTGGGAAATGTTAGAACATAGGTATAATAACAAGAGATTTGTATCCACATATATTTTAAATAGATTATTTGGCCAACGTAATATTGGAAATGAATCATCAAAAGCACTAAAAGATTTACTAGATGTGACCAGTGACTGTTTGCACGAACTTACTAATATTGGGATCGATGTAAGTTCTTGGGATGTAATTATTATTTACGTTGCAAGCTTAAAGTTGGACGTAGAATCGAGGAAGCAGTGGGAACTGCATGTCACTAAATCATCCGACGATCTACCTTCCTTTAAACAGTTTTGCGAGTTTTTGGAAACACGTTTTCGTGCTCTCGAATGCGTTGAGCCTAAAAATAAATTAAAAGTCGATCATCATCCTACATCTCACACTAAGGTCATGCACGGTACGACTAATATGTTATGTCCACACTGTTCGGAGAGTCACAAACTCTTAAATTGTAAGAAGTTTTGCCAACTAGATGTGGACGGACGTCGTGCCGTAACACAATCTTTGGGTGCCTGTTTTAATTGTTTGGGAAGTAATCATACTTCCAAATACTGCCGTGTTTTTTCGAAATGCCGTATTTGTCAGCGTAAACACCATACGCTGCTACATCCGAAGAACCATAGTGGAGCCATTGGGGTTACTGCGTCAGGGGAACCTATTCTCCTGAACTTGGATGTACTTCAGAGCCAGTCCATGATGTCAAGGTAAGTATAGCATCTCATTTTGTGAATGAACAAACGCAGGGTCAGGTCTTGTTAGCCACGGCTTTGGTTAAAGCCGAATCACAAAATGGGTCCTCTCAGGTTTTGAGAGCTTTGTTGGATCAAGGATCACAAGCATCCTTTATAACTGAGTCAGCTGCGCAATTACTTCGTTTAAGGAGAGTAGTCTCAAAGACTACTATTGCAGGTATAGGAGGTGAGCATAGCAAGATCGTTTCTAAACATGTAGTGAATATTGATATTCAATCGTTGCATGATTCCTCTTATACCATAAACGTAACTGCGCATGTACTACGTTCACTGACATCGGTTATGCCAGATAAGAATGTCAACCTTGACAATTGGCCAGAAATTCACAGCATACGTCTAGCCGACCCAAATTTCAGTCGTTCTAATAAAATTGATATTTTATTAGGGGGGGAAGTATACTGCCGTATTTTAAAGGAAGGTCTGATCAAGAGTCCTACAGGCTCTCCGGTCGCACAAGACACGCATTTAGGTTGGATTGTGTCAGGCTATGTCAGTAAGGCAGATAGCTCTCTAAATTCTCATAATACTATAATCACGATGTACACTCAAATAGAAGAGAATGATATGTTAAAACGTTTATGGGAATTGGATTCCGAACCTGCTATAACGAAAAAGCTTCTCACGCCTGAAGAACAGGCCTGCGAAGAGTTTTACGCACAATCGACAGTTAGAGATGTCAATGGGAGATATGTCGTAAAATTACCTTTTCGTTCCGAAGATCCACTTTGTAAATACGGTAATTCTAAAAATATAGCTGTAAAAAGATTGCTAGGTTTAGAAAGGAAGCTGGGTAGGGATGATGAATTAAAACAACAGTATGCTGATGTAATAAAAGAATATTTATTGCTAGGTCATATGGAGAAAATCGTTGATAAGGCTGAAATAAATAAAAACGATGCTGTTTATTTGCCTCATCACGCAGTGGTTAGACAGGATAAATTAACCACTAAGGTAAGAGTGGTTTATGACGCGTCATGTAAGGGAACGAACGGGGTTTCCTTAAATGACACCTTAATGGTAGGACCCACTCTTCAGGCAGATTTGCGACATATTGTCATGAGATGGCGTCAACATCCGATCTGTCTGGCTGCCGATATCGTCAAAATGTATCGCCAAATCAAGGTCGCTCGACCTGATACAGATTATCAAAGAATTGTTTGGAGAGAGAATCCAAACAAAGAGATCGAGGATTACCGACTTCTGACTGTCACCTTTGGTACGTCATGCGCTCCTTACTTAGCTGTAAAGTCGTTGCAGCAAGTTGCGTGCGATGAAGGCGAGAGGTATCCAATGGCTGCTGAAAGGGTGAAGTCAGACTTCTATATGGACGATCTGATGACTGGGTGTCAATCTGAAACAGAAGTAAAACTAATTTATGATGAAATGAATTGTCTATTAGAGAAAGCGGGGTTCCAATTGCAAAAGTGGACAAGCAATAGACCATCCATTTTGGAAACGTTGAAGGAAACTTCTGGTAGAGACCTTGAAATAAAAATGGATAGTATAACTAAGATTTTAGGACTTACCTGGAACCGGAACACTGATGAATTTGATTATTCTGTGAAGATGTCACCTCCTGCTGCACCTGAAACAAAAAGGACGGTTATATCAGAGATATCAAAGCTTTATGATCCGTTGGGTTGGATAGCACCGTGCATTATAACCTCGAAGGTTTTCATACAAAAGCTATGGATTAGTGGAATCGGCTGGGATGATGAACTGCCACCAAATCTCTTACAAGAATGGTCATATTATAGAGCAGAGTTAAAGAAACTGGTAAACTTTCACATTCCTAGATGGATACATAAAAGCGAAAAAGATATTACAATGGAGTTACATGGCTTTAGCGATGCGTCAAATATAGCTTATGCGGCTGTGGTGTATTGTCGCATTGTCGATGCTAATGGGCAAATACACTCGCACCTCATAACCGCAAAGACAAAGGTAGCTCCCATCAAGCAAATATCCATTCCACGGCTGGAGTTGTGCGGTTCTGTTTTAGTAGCAAAATTATTGATTGATGTAGCTCAAGTAATGAACATTCCTAAGGCAAATATACATGCTTGGACGGATTCATCAGTTGTTTTGGCCTGGTTAAATGATCATCCAAGTCGATGGAAAACTTACGTGGCTAATCGTACTTCTGAGATTCTTGGTTTGCTAGACAATTCGCAGTGGGCTTATGTTAAATCTAAAGAAAATCCAGCAGATATAGCTTCCCGGGGAGTGTCTTCAGCATTTCTCCTTGGTGATGATCTTTGGAAACATGGACCAGGTTGGTTAAGGAATGCTCAGATAGACTTCACCCGGCCTAGTGCCATTCATACTAATGAGGAGTTAAAGCAAGTTAATGTTCACACTGCCAGCGTAGTGCCTGATTTTGAAGTCATTTGGGGATCTAAGTATTCATCACTTTCACGTTTGGTGAGAGTTGTTGCGTATTGTAAAAGATTTTTGCAATCATTAAAACTTCGTAAAGCGAATATTAAGGTTGCAAAATACCTGTCAGCTTCCGAAATTCACAAAGCGTTGAATGTATGTATCAAACAAAGCCAACAGCAATGGTTTCAGGCTGAATTGACAGCCCTGAAAAATAAGAGTCCATTGGAAAGGTCGAGTTCTTTATATAAGTTGAATGTATTTATCGACCAATGTGGGATATTGCGAGTTGGAGGAAGGCTACGGTATTCACCATTACTTGATGATACAAAGCACCCAGTTGTTATTCCTCATGATTCAAGTTTGGCTAAGTTAATTGTAGCCGACGCTCATGAAAGGACCTTTCATGGAGGACAGCAACTGGTACTTAATTTTATACGCATCAAGTACTGGATCAGTCGGGTTAAAAATATTGTACGAGCTTATATACGTCGTTGTGTTCGCTGTATTCGATACTCGGCGACCACGAATCAACAGCTTATGGGAGAACTTCCGGTTTGCAGAGTGACTCCCAGTAAGCCGTTTCTGAACTCCGGTGTCGATTATGCAGGCCCTATTCACATTAGAGTCTCCAAAGGTCGTGGACAGCGGTCGTATAAGGGGTACATCTGTTTGTTCGTATGTATGGCTACGCGCGCAGTACACATAGAGGTTGTTTCAGATTTGACGACTGAGGGTTTCCTGGCAGCGTTCAAACGGTTCGTTTCTAGGCGCGGTCACTGTCGTCATATCTGGAGCGACAATGGTACAAATTTTGTGGGTGCTGCTAAAGAGTTGCAGATGCTTTTCAACCAACAGAGTTCGATGTACAAAGACATTGCAGCTGCTCTTGCAAACTCTCAAACAGAATGGCATTTTATCCCTCCTCACGCTCCTAATTTTGGTGGGTTGTGGGAAGCAGGGGTGAAAAGTGTAAAACACCACTTGAAGCGTGTGATAGGTGACTCCACTTTGACGTTCGAAGAACTGTCCACAGTACTTTCCCAAATCGAGGCATGCCTAAACTCTAGGCCCCTGTCTCAGGGTAGTAGTGATCCAGAGGATCCTGTACCTCTGACTCCGGGTCATTTCTTGGTGGGTCATCCATTGGTAATGGTTCCTGACTACAACTATGAAAGTGTCACAGTTAGCACTTTACGCAGATGGCAATTAGTACAGCGTATGGTGCAGCACTTTTGGCGTAGATGGAAACAGGAGTATTTAACAAACTTTTTTCAAAGGCATAAGTGGAATGTTCGTAAACCTGACTGTAAAATAGGTGATGTAGTTTTAATAAAAGAAGATATCTTACCTCCAGCTAAATGGTTGTATGGCAGAATTGTTGAGCTGCATCCGGGTAGAGATAACTTGACGCGAGTTGTCACTGTTCGTTGTAAGGGCTCTATGATTAAACGTCCAATTTCAAAATTGTGTTTTCTTCCTGTTACTGAATAAGGCAAAATCTTGTAGATTTAATTGTTTAAGTTGCGTATGTTTTTAGATAAGGTTTTATTATGTTATTTTCTTATACTGCACTGTTGAAATAACAATGTCTCTTGTGCACTGTCATGTATTGATTACAATGTATAGTTAGTAGTTTAGTTATATTGTTTTTGTCAGAATTTTGTCAACCTGATATTTTTGCCGGTAACAAGAATTTCGTCACCCAGATTAATGTTTTTGTACTTATATCTATTCATTTTGATTGGAACCATATCTGTCCGCGCCAATGTCTGCTAAAAGAAGCCGTCCACTAGATCTATCTCGATGTATTATTCGTAATATAGTAATATAATTGTCATACAGTCCACTGTTCTCCTAGTTGTTAAGTTTATGCATGGTGGGCGGTACGAAAAGGAATATATTCCTTTTGGTGGGCGGAATGTTCAGTGTAGAAATAATCTGTTTAAAAGATGCACTCGGCCAACGCCATACTACTATTTATTGTGTTGTCCCATAGCTCGATAGATGGCGTTGGCCGATTTAAATTCAAGCTATGGTTTCGTTACCGGCAAAACATTAGGTTGTCTGCTTTGACGTAAATAAATTGTCTTGCTCTGAGGTACTTCGTATTATTTCAAGTAATAGGCTCCAAAGGACTTTCGGCCGATACTGTTCATTATACATATAAACCTTCCTTAAGAATCACTCTGTCTATTAAAAAAACTGCATCAAAATCTGTTTCGTAGTTTTAAAGATCTAAGCATACATAGGGACAGACAGACGGGGGAATGCGACTTTGTTTTATACTATGTAGTGATACGTTACTACAATCAATAAAATACTTGCATTACAAAATATTTATCAATTTTTAATACAAATAAAAAATTTATATTAGTTCCGTTTATTAGCTGCCAAACGTATTTAATAATGTATTTACTAAAAATAGACAAATATTTCTAATAATAATAAGCACAATATGACTAAGTGTGAACAAAATATGTGTAAGTGTGGACGAAATATGTCTAAGTGTGGACGAAATATGTCTAAGTGTGGACGAAATATGTCTAAGTGTGGACGAAATATGTCTAATGATGGACATGGAATAAAACTTACCGCTTTTACTATAGAAGGGTGTGTGGCTATGATTACGTTCGGTGGGTCGCCTACTGGTGTAGCAGCGCCCCCTACGTTACTGAATATCACCATCGACATAAGAACAGGCACTGGATTCAGTTGGGTTACCTCGCATAATCTGAAAACAATAAGTGAAGTCATCATAAATAATATAAATATTATGTAACACATTGTGTTGTGTAGTCAATATAGTCATACATTGTGTAATTTACATCTAATTTATGATGAAGTGTTGTCTGAGTGTGTATTATGAATGTTTGTTTGTAAACAACTCTAATTTGGCCACCACTAAATATTATTACAACAATATTTCATGTTATTGTTTGTTTGTTTGTTCCGCTTTGACGCCGTAACTACTAAACCGATTGCTTTGAATTTTTGCAGACGTAAAGTTAGAAGTCTGGATTAAATAATAGGGTACTTTTTATCCCGGAAAAAATTGATATTCCCGAGGGAAAACAAAAGTATTGGTATAGATGGCGCTGTGTGTATTGGTATAAGCCGCAGTAGTATATAAATGCACAAACTGTTGAAGAAGTGAAAGAGGTATGTATAGTATGTAAAAATCGTAGCAATTGGCGTTCCATAGTCTCTCTACCCCCAAGGAAGACAGGCGGAAAGTTATGTATGTATGTAACTATGTAACTAACATAACATCACGCAATTTAACCCCGATGGGGAATGCAGAGGTGTGCATCACGGCACTTTATGCTACTATACAATGTAACACTTTTCACTATTTATGTAATGGGTTCCATGTAATAAATAGGGGGTGATTGCCATATATCAGGCACAATTTCGGACTCCGTGCTACTACTGAGAATTTCTTAAAAAAACCCAGTAAAACTTTGCACGACCCGGGAATCGAACTCGAGACCCCTTGCCGGCAGTCGCACTTGCGACCACTCGGCCAACGAGGCGAACAAATTATTTAAATATTAAATAATAGGTAAGAAAAAATATCAGTCTCTAAGTCAGTCCTCTAGTGAAGCTATTTGCTCGTTCCAAAGTGTAGATTCCTATGGAGAAGAACGAGCAAGAAATTCCATAGGTTATTCTTTTTCATTTTATTTTAATGTCCGTCTATTAGATTATTCTAAATCATTAGACACGTACTTTTTATTTTCGGTATTTGCGGGTTCGAAACCTACCAACGGCAAGTACCAATGTGACTTTTTCCGAGTTTTATGTACTTTCTAAGATTATCTAGACACCACTGACAAACGGTGAAGGAAAACATTTTGAGAAAACCTGGGCTTATAATTATTAATGCAGGGCACGGTATGTATGCTATGTATGAACTATAACAGTTTTAATTAACTGCTTTTTAATCCCCACCTGATAGTAACTGGTGTCATCAGCAGCACAGTGGTCACATTGTCCAGAAACGTTGAGAATATCGCAGTAAAGAAACATAGGACGTTGATCAGAGGCCATGTTCTGCCGCCTGTCACCTGCAAACATTTAAAAGATCCCTAAAAAACTTTGTACAAGACCTATCGATGCTCTTCCAATCCTCTACCTTTGTAGCGGTTTGCAACTTGAACCACCGATTCTTGGACAGCTCACAACTTGATTTTAGACTGCGGCCCCAAGGATGAGCTTCGGGCCGTATCGTAAGCATATGATGTATTGCTTACCTGCGCGCGGTGCATGGAAGTAGTTCATCAGCCTCACGTCAACAACCAATGTTATTATACACGCGCTTAGACACTGCTTGCCTGCTTGTATTAATTTTATAATATACTAGCTTTTACCCGCGGCTTCGCTCGCGTCACAAAAGGATAAAAAGTAGCCTATGTGACATATACCAATACACACAGCGCCATCTATACCAACCCTTTTTTTTTCAATCGGGAATATCAAATTTTTTCGGGATAAAAAGTACCCTATTATTATTTTAATCCGGACTCCTTACTTTAAGTCTGCAAAATTCAATGCAATCGGTTTAGTAGTTACGGCGTGAAGTCGGAACAAACAAACAAACTCACTTTCCGATTTATAATATTATAGTAAGGATTAGTTCTATCCTCTATCTAATAATACTATTTATTTCTTCGAGTTACGTTCTTCATTTTTCTTGCTAAACCGCTGCACAGTCAAGCTATAGTAGACTCTAACACCCTAGCAATAGTAATCAGTCTCCTGAACTCAGGTAGTTGTTTATGTACAATTACCCACTACACCTTCATCCTCAAATCTTTTAGACGTCGTCGGGTGGCGTGTCACCGCACTTGGAATCTCTCGGTGTTCCGGATCTCCATGCGCGAGCTTGATTTCTTACCATCAGGTGTTTAGACTGCTTACTTACCGACCATTCAACATTTTAAGTGTGGGAGAGCCATGCTTCGGCACGAATGGTCCGGCTCGACCGGAGTATCGGCCTCACAGAAAACCATAACGCCTGCGTTATGTTTCGTCGTGTGATTATCGGAGGTCCAATTCCCCCCATCCCCACCCTCTTCCCAATCCCTGAATCTCCAACTATCCCCAAATTCCTAACCCCCAAAAGACCGGTAACGCACTTGTAACGCCTCTGGTGTTCCAGGTATCCATTGGGTGTCGCCGATAGTTTACCATCAAGTGATCCGTCTGCTCGTTTACCAGATTATCCCATTAAAAAAAACACTTGCCGAAAACTGAGTTTGGCATAAATTTTAACAGAAACGACAATATAGCGCAGAGCTTGTAGTGGTAGCAAGTGTTACTTGAGTGACCATATTTTTTTTAACTTACTTCAAAAGCCAAGACAGCGAGGTAATCGAACAGTCCAGTTTCAGCCAGGATGGCGACCAGCAGCATCATACTGAAGAGTAGGAGTAGAGTCTCCACATCCAGCCAAGAGACCAGCTCAGGTAGCGAGGGTCGCGCTCCACATAGAGCCAGCACTCCCACTGCTAGAGATGAGGAGAGCAGAGCTGCTATTGTGCGGTTTACTATCTGGAAAACCAATATAGTTTTATATATATAAGTATTTGATGGGCCGACGCGACGTTTGACCACTATCTCGCCTGGTGGTAAGCGATGATGCGGTCTACGATGGAGCACGTCGTCCACTAAGCAACCTATTTAACTGTTATGGTACGTAATTTCGTAAGAGAGAGTCATGCTTCGGCACGAATGGGCTATCCTGACCAGTAATACTACAGATTCAAAGGAAATCGACTTGAAAGTACGCTTGCATTGGTTTTAGCTATGAATGAGTATACTAGAGGCCCAACTAATCATCCCTCCGAACACCAAACCCAAGACCCTAATACTCAATCCCCAATCGCAAATCCCCAATCTCCAATCCCCAATCCGCAATCCCCAATCTCCAATACCAATCCCTAATCCTAACCTAACCCTAATCACCAATCTCAATCTCCAATCCCAATCCCCACTCTCATTCCCAATCTCAATCGCCAATCCCCAATCCCCAACCCCCAATTCTTAATCCTCAATCCCCAATACCCAACCCAATCCCCAATCCTCAAATCTCCACAAGGTTTAATGCATCTGGTATTGCATTTGTAAAGTTAGGCTATAGAAATGTCGTGTGGTCACCCCGGAGGTTACGCCCACGTATCATGCATGAGGGTGCGCGCGGATTCGAAAACAACCAACGGCAAGTACCAATGTGACTTTTTCCGAGTTATATGTACTTTCTAAGATTATTTAGACACCACTGACAAACAGTGAAGGAAAACATCGTAAGGAAACCTGGACTTACAATTTCAAATTATAAGTTTGAAATCGCCAACCCGCATTGAGCACGCGAAGTGATTAATGCTCAAACCTTTTCCGTGTGACAAGGCTTTGCTTAATGCATTTATAGGCTGTTGATAATGATGATGATAAAGTAGGTAGTCTAAAAAATACGTACCTCAAATATAATAAGAGTGTATAGTGTGATAAGCAGGATAGTGGCGTAAATGATGCCCTCTTCGGGATCAATCGGGTTCATCTGGTAGCTGACGGTCAGTGGAACTATACTGTCACTGGTGGAACTCATGCGGAGAGTCAGCTTTGTACCTGGAATATTGAAAAAGAAAACATAAATTAGATAATTATTTACAAACGGGTCTTTTATAAACTAGATTTAAATAAAGGCATTTAAGCAATAAGCTCACCCCCTTTTACATGGGACTCATAACATAAATAGTGAAAAGTGGGTGTTAGATTATACAGTGGCATAATGTGCACCTCTGCCTACCTAAAAGGCGTGATGATATTATGTTACTTAAAAAAAAAACAACTTAAACCATTTTTTTTTAAATCGGTTAATTGATATACTTAAACTTTCTCCTAACTGTAACAGAAATACTTTTCTGAAAATTACATTAAAATTGGTTCAGCCATTTGCGAGATAATCACGCACAAACATACATACGTACAGGTCAAACTTAGAGCTTCCATTTTTTAAAGTCGGTTAATAAATGTTTGTCCATTATCTCGCCTGGTGGTAAGCGATGATACAGTCAACGATGGAGCACGTCGTCGCATAAGCAACCTATACTGAATACTGAGATTTTAGTAATAGTTAAATGGCCCCACGAAATAGTTGGACGGTTGACTCATTGCGCGCTGTCACCAATCCATGGATACATTTGGCTTTATCGGCCTTTTATTATTACAGTTAATTTTCTAAGTAAATTGAGACCACAGGTAACGTTTATAATATATAAACGGGTGTTTCAGATTCTCGCTGACTAAAAAGCATCTCCTGCTCCGAGGCGAGGCCGCAGATTAAGGTAAGTATGGTGATTATGTTAATTTATTTCTTCACATGCAAACTTTGCTACAATAATAAGATTTCATTGTCTTGGTCGTATCAGATTTTAGAATGAAATGAAATAATTTTTTCTTCAAATTGGTTACAAAATAATACTTTTTTTTACATGTCTTTATTTAAATTACTAGATGAGGACCGGCATTTCCCAACTGACTACTCTGAGAAGAAACGCCAAAACAAACTCAGAGGTCATTGCCTCTTTTATTTTAAAGTACAGACAGATTATATAATCGCGGCTCCGGCTCAAAGAGCAGGAGTAGGAACGGGGTGGTTTTTAGTCAGTAAGACTCTGACACTCCCTCTCGCCAGCCCAAGGCGGGAGAAGTCATTGGATGATTTTCACCCCTTAAAAAATAGACAGATTATATAATACGAGAACCGTGCAAGTTGATTCTGTAGTGGTCTTCTAAGGAAAGATTTACAACAGTTTGAGCGGACCAGGGGGCTTACTCTTGAATCCAATTCCGATCGATCGACATTGGTATTGTGAAATTTCGTACTCATGAGTTGCAACAGTAACGCCCATTGCATCCGTATTGCGTGGATATTTAGTGAACTAAACGTTATTGAGTTAGGCTGTATATTTGATACTCCGAATGCTATTTTAATAGCTACGATAAGGGCTGTATGGTTTTGACATAGAATAAGTATTGAGATTTTATTGGATTGAAATTGCATTGACATTGAGATTGATTTCAAAGTAAGCACCCTGTTCTGATGGTAGCACGCATATGTCAGTTTCCAATCAGTTCAAGTAACAGATGTTGGTGAACGACCCGACGAACAATACCAACCAAAAGAACATTAAGGTAGGTCGCACAAATGCTCAAACTGACAGAATATAATAAACTAACTACTTTCGCGCGGTTTCACACTCTCTGCTCAGCTCCTATTGGTCGTAGCGTGATGTTTAAATGCGCTATCCAACACAAAAAGAATGATTTAAATCAGACTTGTAGTTAAGGAGATTAGCGCGTTCAAAGAAACAAATAAAAAAACATACTCTTCCGCTTTATGTAATAGTATAAGAGTAGCAATAAAGTTGATTTTACATACCATTAATTCCAATTTGGCCCCATCTCGTAATTTCTTCCGTTATCAGACTGAGTGAAGACGTGGAGTTCAAGTCCTGATGTCCTCGAGTGAGTATGGGAGCCTGCTCCTCAAGAATTAGGAGTCTGCTCTCTGTAGAACTGGGTGAGAAGTCCAGGATATCTTCAGGTTGGAGATGTATTCTCCATTTTGTTGAATTCTGGAATTGAAAATGTAACTGGTTTTTATTTTCCGAAAGATCCAAGTTTGTATTATAACTTTCGTGATGAAACATACTAAATAACACATACATAACATCACGCCTTTTATCCTCGAAGGGGTAGGCAGAGGTGTACATTACACCACTGTACAATGTAACACCCACTTTTCACTATTTATGTTACGAGTCCCATGTAATAGGGGGTGAGCCTATTGCCATATCCCGGGCACAGTTCCAGACTCCGTGCTACTACTGAGATTTTTTTTAAAAACCCAATAATACTTTGCCCGACCTGGGAATCGAACCCGAGACCCCTTACCCGGCAGTCGCAATTGCGACCACTCGGCCAACGAGGCAGTCATCTAATGCTTCGAGTTAGAGCCCCGGTAACCGCTTGTATTTTGTCAACTGAGGATATTCAACACTCAATTCTTTATTTCTTTCCACGTATGTACGTGACTTAAGTGGTAAACACGATGGTAAACATAATGGTTAACAATGGCAAATGCAATACGAGATAAAATTAAATTAAAATTTAATATTTAGCAGTCAGAATCATAAACAACCCAAATTAAAATAAATACAAAGTCATAATTATAATAGAATAAAATATAAATCGCAATCATAATTAAATTAAAAACAGTCAAAATAAAACCAAAGCACAGTCAAATTAAAATGTTCTTTGGTCCACATTCTCGTTTGCCTCTATATCTAAAAATATCTTGATCTCTTTGGAATTTAGACCCATTAGTCGGACATTTTCAGACTACTGATTACACTAAACGATGGTCATCGATGTTGATAATTATAGCCTGACTACGACTTGCCCACTACTGCTATAAAAAATAATCTTAAACAAAAGTATCGACAAACATTTCGTTTGTTTAAACGTTAAGCGATAAAATTTAATTGCAATCAGTACTCTGTAATTAGTCTAAATATTTATAAAACAACGATAACATTGTTGCAAATAATGAGAGAACTGTATTCTTAAACAGATGACCATGTGTGTAGGTATCGATATGAGCTAATGTTCCATGTAAACAGCAGCTCATGTAGTGTAGATGTCCAGTCAACAAGGATGTAGGAACATACTTTATTTAAAAGGAGCAACAAATGAAGTTTCTTGCTCGTTCTTCTCCATTCGAATCTACATTTTGGAATGAGCACCTAGCTTCACCTAGCTTTACTGACGGACTGACTGACAAACCTTATTTATTTTGTATTTATTGACGTTTCAAAAGTACCAAATTATGGTTTAATTGAAATAAATGCTTTGGCTTTGACTTTGTAGCGAGGTTGACTGTCCAGGCGATACGTACTTAGGTATCGTCATGAGCTAATGTTCACATGTAAACAGCAGCTCATGTAGTGTAGATATCCAGTCAACAAGAACAATTTTACTTACCTGTTCAAATTCTGTACTTGTATTGTCACCAACAGATCTATGCAGCCATATATGAAGTGTGTTCACGCTCTCATTGGTCACAGGCTGGGCAAAAGGTCCAGTCAGAGTGATAGATACTTTTACTCGTTGATCACTGGGCGGTAATTCGTATTCTGAAAGAGACAAAGTTCAATTTTAGGTAATTGATAATTTGCTTCCGTAAGAGCCTTCGTTTGCGGTTCCCGAGTAAACAGTAGCCCATGTTTATTCCACACTCTAATCTATCTTTGTGAGAAGTCTCATCATAAATTCATTCAGCAGTAGTAAGTAAGTAAATAGTAATTGACTGCACGGTTGGTGGCAGCCGGTTGCCCAGCCACCGCGGCTGGGCAACCGGCTTTGTGTGATCCACAAATTGTTGTTTCGGGTCTGTGTGTCATTGTGTATGTGAACTTGTATGTTTGTAAACGCACCCACGACACAGGAGAAAATCCTAATGCAGGGCAACGGGCAAGGTTTAAAAAAAAAAAGTGGTCCTCCGGTGACCTCACTCACACGACAAAACAGTTGCGTTGGCAAGCGTTGTTTTTTTTTACGGTGGTTTTCTGTGAGACCGTAGTATCGCTCCAGCCGAGCCGGCCACAGGTACGATACTAGCGACCTTCATTATTCCCACCTCTTTCCTGCCAAGCTGTACTTATATTAAAACTAGCTTTTACCCGCGGCTTCGCTCGCGTCACAAAAGGATAAAAAGTAGCCTATGTGACATATATCAATACACAGCGCCATCTATACCCATACTTTTGTTTTCCCTCGGGAATATCAATTTTTTCCGGGTTAAAAAGTACCCTATTATTTAATCTGGACTTCTAACTTTACGTCTGCAAAAATTCAAAGCAATCGGTTGAGTAGTTACGGCGTGAAGGTGGAACAAACAAACAAACAAACAAGCTCACTTTCAGATTTATAATATTATATATAAGTAAGGATTTAACTTTGCATGCCGAAAACAGTAGGTGATGTATGTGGGACTATTGTTTTATTATTATTATTACCTGTAATTATTATACTTCGTGCAAATAAACGTTCTTATTCTTACTCTTATTAAACTCGGTAGGTTGTAGCACGGAGTTGTAGTTTGTCTTACCTTTAATCTCTCCACCCTGTACAGCAGTATGCAGCACCACGTCTGATCGTTCCATGTTCATCAACAAGGAGACGGTGAGGAGCACCCAGCATGAGATGAGGCCACATAGCTTCACTGTCCGCAATGCTTGGTCTAGCTGTGAAGAAATTACTGCATTGAGGCTTTGTACTCAGTTTTTTTACGGGATAAGAGGACGAATGATTAAATGATTCACCTGATGATATGGTAAGCAATCAGCATACCTTATATGGACATTAAAAAGTAGGGTATGCGTATTCATCAACAGCCTATAAATGCCCAATGCTAAGCAAAGCCTCTTCTCACACGGAGAAGGTTTGAGCATTGATCACCACGCTTGCTCAATGCGGGTTGGCGATTAACAAACTTATAATTAGAAATTATAAGTCCAGATTTCCTCACGATGTTCTCCTTCACCGTTTGTCAGTGGTGTCTAGATAATCTTAGAAAGTACATATAACTCGGAAAAAGTCATATTGGTAGGTACTTGCGGTTGGTAGCTTTCGAACTCGCACCCTCATGCATGAGAAGCGGGCGTTTTTAACCTCCGGGCCATCGCAACATTCTGTATGCGTATTATGGGTTTAGAAAATTTATTCTAAAGTTTAGTTCCTTGACAAAGTTTCTCGAAGAGCACTCAGTTGTGAACATTTATATAAGGTGTCAAATAACAAGGTGATTTTTTTTATATCTCAATAGATCAACTGGTAAGCAATCAGCATCGCCAACAGATCAGATCAGACAGCATCAGATTGGGGAAGGGGGAGGTAATTGGGCCTCCATACACGACGAAACTCAATGCAAGCGTTGTTTTACATCGGTTTTCTGCTCAGCCGTGGTATCACTCCGGTCCAGCCGGCCCATTCGTGCCGAAGCATAGCTCTCCCACACTTAAAATATACGTAAGAATTAAACTAATACAATACTGACCCGTTTCTTTTTGGCAGACTTTAGTTTCTTCTCATCTTTTGTCTGCATGGGATCCATTAATCTGTGAAAAGAAGAACAGAAAAAATGAATGAAATGTTGTAATTATTCTTGTATTAAACTGTCAAGCACCGTGAGGACACCGGTGACAGCAACCTATTGTTCTTTAATTGTGTCTATAATGACGGTACTCAAAAAGTTAATTAATATACTAAAACTTTCTCCTAAGGGTAACAAAAACTTTTGAGAACGGCATCAAAATCGGATTACCCAATCGCGAGATAATCGCGCACAAACATAAAAAGATACATACATACAATTTACCGACATATTTATACTTAAATAGCATAATAATATATCTATATCTATAATATAATACATAAAATATAACATATAATAAAATCGTAGAAAAGTCAAAACTTTCGTTCTACTTAAACAACGAATATTTTTTTAAAAGAATACTTGTAGCGTGATCTATAATCGATACTGAAGTCAAAAATATGGTTTTTAGAACTTTTGTCTGTTTATCTGTATGTATGTAAAGAAAGAAAGAAAAAACATTTATTCAGCACCAGGCACGATGCAGCATAAATAAAATATAAAAATACAATAAAGGTGTGACAGTGGACGTAATAAAAATATAAGAGTTGAACAATTAAAACAGAAGAATTAGAAGAGAGACGCTGACAACATGCCTATGCTAAAAGGGTCACCCACTAAGTATAAGCCAGGCATACAAGTTACCCAGCACTGATTTTTCAGTGGGCACCCAGTCCGGGATGATCTCAAAAAGTGCTGCATGGATTTACTTCAAATTTTGCATGAATTCCACTGACAAGTCGGATCAACATTATAGGCTACATATTATCACGCTATCATCAACAGAGGAGGAGCCCTATACTAGGTACTGAATCAATTCTGTCGACATTCGTTACCGTAGAATATCCAAAGTCAAAGTCAAAGTCAAAATCATTTATTTCAATTAGACCAGGATGGCACTTTTGAACGTCAAACAACAAAAATTTATAAGTGAAGCTAGTTGCTCATTCCAAGGCGTAGATTCCTATGGAGAAGAACGAGCAAGAAACTCCGTAGGTTACTCTTTTTCAATCAGGTTTACAATACAATTCTCTAGTTACATAGTTTTATTGGTTCGATTATGTGAGAACAATGCAACACCTAAATCCAGTCAGAAAGACTAATTCGAAAGCCTAAATTCTGCCAGAAGTCATTATTCTACGCGGACTAAATCGCATGGAACAGCTAGTAGTAATGTTGAAGATTTTGTTTATTTATTTGAATGCTCTAATCTCTGGAAGTATTTATTAGAAGTATAATTAACTATCATCAACACCAACCTGTTCGCTGCATCTTTAAGCGGTTCCACATCCTCCCTCCTCGCATCCACCTCATGTTTCTTATCAAATATAGTCTTATCACCTTCCGCATGATCCTCCAGCTCTATTTTACCTGAAATCATATATTCACATGTTTAAATATAACCTGTGTCTTCAAGGCCCGAGTGAATAGGTTGCTTATGGAACGACGTGATCCATCGTAGACCGCCGACGTTTGATTGTGGTCCACACTAATACCTAGTACGAGAGATGACGACCAAAATTTTTTGACACAGCAGAAATGGCCTCCCACGCAGTTGCTACACTTTCGACCGTTACTACACACCTAGTCGGGTTCAGAATCATACAATCTAACAATTTTTTATAGGGTTTTTGCCGTATTGCTATGAGACATGGTTTTGGTCGTCATCTCTCGTACTATATAGTTATTTAGCGGGCAATTTAAGAGTATGACGTCACATCCACATAACATCACGCCTTTTATCCGCAAAGGGTTAAGCAGAGGTGCACATTACGGTACTTAATGCCACTTTACAATGTACCACCCACTTTTCACTATTTATGTTATGCTTCCCATGTAATAGGAGGTTAGCCTATTGCCATATACCGGGCAGATACTGAGATTTTTTTTAAATCCATTAATACTTTGCCCGGCCCGGGAATCGAACCCGACCTTAGCAGTCGCACTAGTGACTACTTGGCCATCGCGGCAGTCATAATATGACGTCATAGATTGTTATTGAATGCTGTAAAGTATGTATTAAAATATGTATAATGAGAATCATTCTAATTTTAGAATACCTAAGCGTTGAATGATAGGAAACATCCAAAGTCACTGTGGTTTTACAGATTTTTCCGTTCAAAACATAATGTTATGAACAAAATAATTTTATTACTACATAGTATAAAACAAAGTCGCTATCCGCCGTCTGTCAGTCCCTATGTATGCTTAGATCTTTAAAACTACGCAACGGATTTTGATGCGTTTTTTTTTAATCAATCAATCATCTACAGCAGATCTATAAATGCTCACTGCTGAGCAAAACCTCTTCTCACACGGAGAAGATTTGAGCATTAATCACCACGCTTGCTCAATGCGGGTTGGCATTCAAAATTATAATTACAAATTATAAGCCCAGGTTTCCTTACGATGTTTTCCTTCACCGTTTGTCAGTGGTGTCTAGATAATCTTAGAAAGTATATTTAACTCGGAAAAAAGTCACATTGGTACTTCCCGTGTTGATAGGTTTCGAACCTGTCTCCTCATGCATGAGAAGCATGTCTTAAACCTCCGGGCCACCACGACATTTTAATAGATAGAGTAAACCTTCAGCAAGGTTTATATGTATAATGCATGCTTATTGCACACGTGCGAAGCCGTGGCGGGTCGCTAGTTATAATGATTCTAAAGATTACTGAGTTGATAAAGAGTACCTATTCACAAATATTACTGACGAGCAAATAGAAAGAAGAAGAAAGAAAAACCATTTATTCTTGCGCAAAACACACATAACATAACCAAAAATAAAATAAAATAAAAGCTAAAAATATAAAATGAAGTGAAGTCTTGTCCATGGTCCACAGACTTATTCTTTACTGAAATTATAGAATACTTAATATCCAACATTATCTGTGGACCATAGACAAGGAACACCCTACTTACTTCATGCATGCATTACATAAAATTGGATGGAGTATATTATTATAAAAAAGTTTAATTATATAAAACAAAACGCATCAATTATAGGTACTTGATGCTAGCGTAACCCCTTGCCCCAATATTGTGCGTCATGTATGCGTGCGCAAAAACAGGATATGCTCAGCAATTTCTACGACTTAAACCTCGAGAGGTTAGCGTCGCAGCGCTGATTTTCAGCACATCCCTGGGTAACGTAATGGCGTCCCGCCAGCTTCACTATTCGCCAGCGATCATGAATGCAATGCAACGAATGACGTGAGTGCAGACCATGATTCACTTAACTTGTATATGTAGTGACGTGAATTGTTACTATAAAGCAGTAGTGTACCGTGTGTGAGTGTAATATGAAGTGTGTGTCCTGTATTTACAGCAAGTAGCCGGCATAACCTGTAAAATACAGATATACCTATTGAACATAAATGATGGGGGAGGCTGCAGCTACGAACGAACCTGTTGGATACCTGTGCCTCACCATGTTGGAAGGCCGCGACCCTTGAGGTGAGTAGTGAATTGTGTGTGTTATGTATGTAAGTAGTGTGTGTAATTTATGTACATTTTTGTGTGTTTAACAGAAAATTCTTCAACTGTTGTAAGAAGTGTTTTTTGGTTTTCAGGTCTCGCATTGGTGGTGGCAGGTTGTTCCAACAGTGAGTCGCAGCATATTTGAAGCTCCCCCTAAAGGCCGCCGTTCTGTGCTGAGGGATGGATAGTGGATTTGTAGTTGAGCGTATGTGGTTTATTGAACTGTTCTGTCTCCACTGTAATTTTTCATACAGGTACTGTGGCTTTTGGGTAGTAATAACTCCAAACAATAGGCCTGCCATGTGCAAACGTCTCCGAGTTTCCATTTTTAAAATATTGTTTTGATTCGCAAAAGGGGTGACATGGCTTCTTCGTGGTATGTCCACACAGTATCTTATGCAAGCATTTTGAACACGCTGCACCAATCTTTTTGTTTTTGCTAGTAAGCATGGACCATAAGCTGTATCGCAGTAGTTCAGTTTGATGGACCAGACTGTCCACAAGTTGTTTGCGCAGAGCTACACTCAAGTATTTCCTGAAGCAGTATAGAGTTTTTAGTCTATAAAAACAGTTCCTTGTACTATTTAATATGTGCTTCTCAAAGTGTAGCTCTGGATCCATAGTGAGACCCAAATTGGTCGCTGCATTTACCATTTCTATATTTTCATTGTTAATTGTAACTACTGGCCCAGCAGACAGCATAACACTGATTGTCCTCTTGCTACTCAAGACCATATATTTAGATTTCACAGGATTCAGTACCAGGCAGTTGTCCTCAGACCAAGTAACAACGTTTTGCAAATCAGCATTAATATTCTGTACAGCCATCGAGACGTCTGTAGGTCTACAAGACATGTATAGCTGAATATCATCCGCATACATATGGTACTTGCAATGTTTGATTGAGCCTACAATATCGGCACTGTACAGAATGTACAGAAGCGGTCCTAAAATTGAGCCTTGAGGCACGCCGCGCGCGACAGGGAGTGGAAGAGACGACACGACCGTTCCGTCCTCTTTACGGATTTCAACAAGTTGGGATCTATTGTTTAGGTCCAAACCACTTTATTGTTTTCATCGCGAATCCATAGTAAGTCATCTTGGAAAGCAATAAAGTGGTGTTTATCGAGTCAAAGGCCCGGGAAAAATCAAGGAGCACCAATATCGTCCCCTCACCCCTGTCACGAGCCTCCAGTATGTTGCCTATAACATCAGCCAGCGCCGTTGCAGTCCCACGACATTTTCTAAAACCCGATTGCATCTCGGGCAATATGTTGTTATCCTCCAGATATTTGATTGTCTGATTATATACCACCCTCTCCAAAACTTTTGACAGACACGGCAGTATACTGATGGGGCGAAGGTCCTTGAAGGAGTTTGGATTGCTGTTTTTTGGTATTGGCCGCACAATAGCACACTTCCATGCCTCAGGGAATGTGTTGGTTTTTATTGATGTATTGACTATGGCCGTGATAATCTGAAGCGTGTGTGGTAGTGTCAATTTCAGCATATCCAAACCAAGTCCATCAGTGCCTGTTGCATTTGTTCCAAGATCCTGCAATGCTCTCAGAACATCCGTCTGGCTGACGCTCCTGAGCACGAACTGAGATTCATTAGCACTGAATCTGCTGAACTCAAAGAATGTCAGCCGAGACATCGAGACACTACACGATCCCGGAAATGGAAAATGATCTCACGTTCGATTTATGAGTCGGGCAAGTGTTATAATATTATAGTGTTTTCTGTCTTTTGTTTACTGCCTCATTGGCCGAGTTGTCATAAGTACAACTGCCGGGCAAGGGGTCTCAGGTTCGATTCCTGGGTCGGGCATTATATTACTGCGTTTTATAAAAAATCTCAGTAGTAGCACGGAGTCTGAAATTGTGCCCGGTATATGGCAATAGGCTCACCATAGAACTTTTAACATAAATAGTGGAAAGTGGGTGTTACATTGTACAGAGGCATTAAGTGCCGTAATGTGCACCTCTGTCTATCCCTTCGGGGATAAAAGGCGTGATGTTATATTTTCCGTCTTCAGAAAAATCTCAGAATGGCACGGAATCCTAAATAACTAAACCCCTTTTACGTGGAACTCACACTCGCAGGATCTACAGTAGATACAACCATGAAAACACCGGAACCATGAAAACACCGGAACACTGAAGTCCGGCGCGTCTCCGGGACATGAATAACTGTCTTGGTTCCCGCAACGAAGATATTATAATGGAGAAGAAAAACACAATAGTTTCCACTTCCCTCGGTGTTTGCACGTTTGCTGATCTTTCCTATGAAAACATAAGTTACTCAAAGTTAAAAATACCAATACCAGGATGGATGAAAGTAGAGTAACGAAAGAAGGATACAGAGCGGATATGAATGGAGCCGTCGGTAGAGGGCGCCCTAGACGGACATATACTGACCAGATTGGCGATATATTAAAGAAGGGCCAAATTAAAAGTACCCTTAACCGACAAGCATGTATGAAAAGATTGATGACTGTTAATGAAGCGAAAGAGGTATGTAAGAATCGTAGTAATTGGCGTTCCTTAGTCTCTGCCTACCCCCATGGGAGACAGGCGTGAAGTTATGTATGTATGTAAAAATACCAAGAAATGAAGACCAACTCACCATGCTGCTGTTCATACCGCTGCTTGAATGGTGCCAGTAGAGGATCAAACTTGATTTCATCAGGAAGGTCCACCCATATATCGACGCTCCCTGGCGTCAGGTCACTACACGAAATCACAGAATATACACTATTGTTCAAGTTCACATCTTTTTTGCGTCCCAATTCTCTTAATCTTTGCATTAAATCGGCCATCTTGTGTCAGGACATAATTTTTGCAGTTTCAACTTTATTTTTATTGAGGTAGGTGTCGTTTTTTATTGTAACTTCTAATTTGTGTGTAGTTTCTAAGGGTATTAAAAGTAAATGAGCTAATATTCACGTGTAAACAGCAGCTCATGTAGTGTAGATGTCCAGTCAACAAGGATGTATCGAGGTTGACTGTCCAGGCGACACACGTACTTAGGTATCGTCATGAGCTAATGTTCACATGTAAACAGGAGCTCATGTAGTGTAAATGTCCAGTCAACAAGGATGTAGCGAGGTTGACTGTCCAGGCGACACACGTACTTAGGTATCGTCATGAGCTTATGTTCATAGTAGACAGCAGCTCATGTAGTGTAGATGTCCAGTCATCAAGGATGTAGCGAGGTTGACTGTCCAGGCGACACACGTACTTAGGTATCGTCATGAGCTAATGTTCACATGTAAACAGCAGCTCATGTAGTGTAGATGTCCAGCCAACAAGGATGTAACGAGGTTGACTGTCCAGGCGACACACGTACTTAAACAAATTAAATTTAACTTTGAAGGTTCTACACTAAAGTTTACAACAGAATAACACAATTGTCATTAGCCAAATAACAAAAAACTGTCAAACGTCATGGAAAATTAGACCTTATCATTAAGTAATAAATAATGTATGTAAAGTAATGGAATTTTCCTGTACCATAAAGTTTAATTTAAGTTATCATGAGTCACACGGGCTTTTGAGCCATATAAATGAAGTAGGTACCTACGGATAGGTTTTATCAAATTCGATAAGTGAAAAGATAAGTGATATGAAGGTATTTATCATATATATATCCTTGATATAAGTATCCGATAAACGTACATCCTTACTAAAATCGGAAAGTGAGTTTTTTTGTTTGTTGTTTGTTCCGCTTTCACGGCGTAACTACTAAACCGATTGCTTTGAATTTTTGCAGACGTAAAGTTAGAAGTCTGGATTAAATAAGTATTTTTTATCCCGGAAAAATTTGATATTCCCGAGGGAAAACAAAAGTATTGGTATAGATGGCGCTGTGTGTTTTGGTATATGTCACATAGGCTACTTTATATCCTTTTGTGACGCAAGCGAAGCCGCGCGTGAAAGCTAGTCCTTTATATGGGATAAGCTGGTAAACGAGCTGAAAGATCACCTGATGGTAAGCAATCGGCGTCGCCCATGGACACACGCAACACTACAGGCGTTATAAGTGCGTTACCGGCCTTATGGTAACTAGGAATTTGAGAATTGGAGAAGGGGGTGTGTGGGGGTAATTGGACCTCCGGTAACCTCACTCACACGACGAAACACAATGCAAGCGTTGCTTCACGTCGGTTTTCTGCTCAGCCAACACTCCGGTCGACCCAGCCCATTCGTGCATGGCTCTCCCACATTATATTAAACACTAGCGTCTTCCCGCGACTTCGTACGCGCAATCCCGTTTTCTCCCGTTCCCGTAGGATTTTCAGGACATTTTTCTGTCATAAGAACCTTCTCCTGACAATAACAAATACAACAAAAATCAGCCAAATCGGTCTAGCCGTTCTCAAGTTGCGTGACAACGGGAAACAGGTTTCATTTTTAAATAGATATAGATACACTGTCTTGTTAGTCGAGTGGTCACAAGTGCGACAGTAGAGTAAGGGGTCACGGGTTCGGTCGAAGAATTATTGGAGTGTTTTCAATATTTCAAATATTCAGTAGTAATTCGTGACGTCACATTATATTACAAATCAATATCGTCGTCGAGGTATTAAATACTATTTTACTAAATTAAATTTTGTTTTGGTAAAAAAGGAAAAAATACGTACGTACTGTATAAGTATAAGACAGAAAATGAAACTACCTCAAGCAAGCAAGTCAGCAGTGGTTATTATTGAAAAAAACATAATTGAAAACTATTAAGGCTGGAAACGTAACGATTCTAAAAAAGGAAAACAAGCAAAGTCAAATTTAAAATCATTTATTTTCTCTTTATTTCTAAAAGTTAGTAATGAATAAAGTTCTTCCTATTAAACTTCCTTAATCTATATATATAAAAGAAAGTCGTGTTAGTTACACCACTTATAACTCAAGAACGGCAGAATAGATTTGGCTGAAAATTGGTGGGGAGGTAGCTTAGAGCCAGGAGACCGACATAGGATACTTTTTAACCAACATTTTTTTTTTTACTTTTTACCGAAAATCACGAACGGGGAGGGATGGGATTACGCGTACGAAGTCGCGGGCAGAAGCTAGTCAAAAATAAATTGTTACGACTGTTCAATACAATAAAATATAAAAAAATAATTACACTTTCATTAACTGATTTTATGACCAACTTAATTTTAGTATTATTCCAGCAAATATTTAAGAAATAAGTATGTTGCTTGACGCTAAGACAACGTGACATCACAATACACAATCTCGTACAAAATTCATAGAAAACTGTAGTTTCTGACAGTTAGATAAAAAGTATTGAATTTGATTGACTAGTTGGCAAGTACACAAAAAATATTGTCTGCGTTTAAGCAAGCCTTCTGATTACACCCTCCGTAACTCAATAGTCACTGTTAACTTCTATACAAAACGGTTGCTGTACAAATCTTAGTAGTTAATTGAGATTTACGATCATGCTTATATAGAGCGAGTGCTTATCTTTACGGTCTAATGCATTCGAGGTATGGGCAGAGTACTAGGCAGTTGGTAGGAACAGATGCGAAAGTTTGTTCGTGTTTGTATTTAATCAGGTCAAAACGTCTGAAGAGATCGACATGATATTTTTTTAAGGGGGGAAAATCATCGAATTACTTCTCCCGTCTGGGTGAGGCGGGAGGGAGTGTCAGACTCTTACTGACTAAATACCACCCCGTTCCTACTCCTGCCCTTCGAGCCGGAGCCCCGGTAACCCATTTAGTTCTCAAAATAACTATTTATTATTAATATTAAATTAATTAATTAGCCCAATAGGGCTGATGCCGATACGGAGCCGCGGAGAACCTCACGGGTTGCCGGGGCTCCGGCTCGAAGTGCAGCAGAAGGAACGGGGTGGTTTTTAGTCGGTAAGAGTCTAACACTTCCTCCCGCCTCTACCAGGCGGGAGAAGTAATTCGATGACTTTCCCCCCCTTATTAAAAAAAAGTATTATATATAAATGAAAGTTGTGTTAATTATACTATGTATAATTAAAATTTACGACTTTAACTCGTCGAGTACCGGTTTTATAGACACAATTAAAGAACAATAGGTCGCGGTCACCGGTGACCGCTTGGTGTTTGACAGATTAAAATTGAGTAGCATTTGAGTATTTGGATTTATGAATAGCTGAATTTGACTGAAAATTGGCGAGAAAGTAGCTTAGAAACAGCAGACGGGCATAATATGATACTTTTTATGCAAGGACTTCCCGAAAATTCCACAAGAACGGGAAAAAAAAACTGGACGGCACGGTTGGTGTGGTGGCTGGGCAACCGGCTGCCACGCAACGTATCGCGAGTTCGATTCCCGCACGGAGCAACTCTTTGTGTCCACAAATCGTTGGTCCGGGTCTGGGTGCCATGTGTATGTGAACTTGTATGTTTGTAAACGCACACACGACACAGGAGAAAATCCTAGTGTGAGGCAATGAAAAAAAAAAAGCGGCCCGAAACTGGTTTAAAATTAAAATAACTGTTAAACTTGACCATGAACTTCAAATTAAGATCAGCACATATAAATATAATGAAAACGTCCAAATGTTTATGGTAATTAATTCCAACTTTGTTACGAGTCGTAATTAACATAGAAATATATGTTAATTAACGGCAAAATAGAATACAATGGTCTGTCGGCGGTATTTCTGAACCGATACGACTTTCAAACCTCCCCTGGTGTTGCCGGTGTCCAGGGGCGGCGATTATGGCTTACCATCAGGTGATCCGCGTACCTAGAAAGTTCATATAACTCGGAAAAAGTCACATTGGTGCTTGCTGTTGGTGGGATTCGAACCCGTACCCTCATGCATGAGAAGCTGGCGTCTTATACCTCCGGGCCACCACCACGGCAGCGCTCTCCGATAAACCCTTTATAATTGCGAACCCGCCGGCTATGCATCAAGTTGATTTTATAATATAAAGCTTGACCTAATTATAAGAAACCAATAAATAGTAACCATAACATAACATAACATCACGCCTTTTATCCCCGAAGGGATAGACAGAGGTACACATTTACGTCACTTAATGCCACTGTACAATTATGTAACACCCACTTTTCACTATTAACTCGTCGAGTACCGGTTTTATAGACACAATTAAAGAACAATAGGTCGCGGTCACCGGTGACCGCTTGGTGTTTGACAGTTTAATGTTTGTAGTAGGAGGTGAGCCTATTGATAGATATATACCGGGCACATTTTCAGTCTCCGCTACTACTGAGATTTAAAAAAAAAAAACAGTAATACTTTGCCCGACCTGGGAATCGAATCCGAGACCCCTTGCCCGGTAGTCACAGTTGCGATTTGGCCAACGAGGCAGTCAACAAATAAATATAGTACCCAATTCAAATGTCATTTAGAGCTGTAACGTTAGAATACTGGGTAAAATAATAATACATATATTATTTTGTCAGCACGTTCCGTCTCGTAAATGCTGACGAAGAGACTACACAGTGAGTAAAGAGATGGCAGAAGTCCTATCTCATAAACATGAACCTTTTAATTTAAACTTCTTTAACCAAGCTTGCTTGATTATGTCTAATTCTTATGTAGAAGAGGCGGACTGATGATGTTTATGCACATTTTTCTACAAAGTTCGATAACAAACCGGCACTCTGTTATCTTTCACAATAAAAAACGCCCGAAATACAAACTCACTCGCGATAATAATAAAATTATTATTTCTATTAAAACGAAATAATTACAAAACACATTATTGTAACGG